TGTATTTCCGATTGCAGCTCGAACTCGGCCCCCGGACCGATCTGAATACTTGGGCGGACCTGCACAAAAAGGTGAGCACTCCGACGATCAAGTCAGTACAGGTCGGATTCTTAGTTTAGTTCGAGGTCAGAAATCATCGTACCTGATCGTGGAGTGAGGTCCTCTACTTATGGGTGGTAGTCCCGCTAATCTCGCGACGGTTACACCCGGTAATCTCGGGACCGTCGGTTACACCCGATAATCTCGGGACCGTTGGTTACACCCGATAATCACGCCGCTGACAGCAGCTCACATCGGCCCCTACCGAGCTTCCCGGTAGGTCGGACCTTGGCCAGGTTCACCTCGGCCCTCAACTTTGCATCCATCAACGCTAACGGTGGTGATCTCGGCAGTCCGAGCTGGGCATGACTCATAAGTCATCTTGGAGAACCAATAGGGGTCCTCCACGTGTCCAGGGTATTCTTTCCCCAAACAGCATAAATATCTTGTAAGAGATTGCAATTATAATCTCTCAAGTAAGAAGGAGGGTGTTGGGATCGCTGAAGTCGAGAAGGCATAGCAACATGAACAGCCGATACAACAGCATGTATAATAGCAGAATCTGGTGTAATATTAGATAGAGTTGGATCAACATTAGGCACGACTGGGTCAGTAACAGGAACAGGTGGTACAATTCAGTAGGGACAGTTGTAGCAAGATTAGAATCTGAAACAACAATGGTACGAGACTCACAGCCAACAACATCAGCAACAATGGGAGCAGGCGTAACATCAAAAGGTTCAGTAATAGTAGGAGTGGGCAAAGTAGCATATGAAGGATGAATAGAAGGCACTTCGGATATAACAGTAGGCAGTACAAATTCAGCCAAAAAATCAGCAATAGAAGTACTATAAATTTGAACCACAGTATGAAAATGGAACAAATCTTCAAAAAATAGGACATCACGTGAAACAAAAAATTGTTTCCTGGTAATATCATAAAGTCTATACCCTTTAATACCAGCTGGATATCCCATAAAAAAAAGGGGCGAGCTCTCGGATCAAATTTCGTGCGGTGTAATGGCAAAGTGGAAAAATAAGCAAGACATCCAAATGTGCGTAAAGAAGCATAATCAAAGTCTTTTTTAATCAAAACATTATAATGTGATGCATTGGAGAGCAATGACATAGGTGTACGATTAATCAATTAAGTAGCAGTAAGAACACAATCACCCCAAAAATGGAAAGGGACCCGAGATTGAAAAAAGAGAGCCCAAGCAACATTAAACAGATGTTGGTGTTTCCGTTCGACAACCGAGTTCCGCTGAGGCCAATCAACACAAGAAAATTGATGTAACGTCTCTTTAGAAGCAAAGAAATCAGTGAATCGAAGCTCAAGAGCATTGTCAGAACGAGATATCTTGATAACCTTAGAAAATTGTGTCTCAATCATCTTAAAAAATCGAGCGACTATTGTTAATGCATCATATTTACGCCGCATGAGATACACCCAAGTAAAACGAGAGCAATCATCCACAAATGTTAAAAATATGTATAACCATCCGAAGTAGGAGTATTAAAATGACCCCAAATCACAATGTAATATATCAAAAACAGAATCAGTAACATGGTTATTTGCAGAAAAAGAAAATCGACGTTGCTTAGCCAATGGACATATATGGCAAACAGAAGAAGAACAACCACCAGTAACAGGTAGAGATTGTTTTAACAAAGCAAGTCGAGGAGGAAAGGGATGTCCCAACCGTTTATGCCAAGTATCTATAGAAGCATGACAAGCAAAAATTGAAACATCCTTATGAGCAGAAATTGAAAGCAAAGGAAGCGAAAGAGTGTTAAGTCCATCCACGCAATCAACCTTGCCAATCGTTTTCAATAGTGACTTGTCATGAATAAAACAAGAAGCACCAGAGAATTCAATCGAAATACCATCATGTCGAAGCAGGGCACTTGCAGACAGAAGATTATAAGTGAATTGAGGAACAAATAGCACGTTATTGAGGATAAAGTCGCCTGATAACTGAACAAGTCCAATAAGTTCCACAAAAATTCGAGATAATGTAGGCAAGACAACAGTAATATTAGTAGCAAGGCGCAGATCCAGAAAAATAGACCTGTAATGCCCCAAGTTTTCGAGTTAGTTTTATCTTAAGGTTTAAATTCGGCCTTTGGATTTTTCCCTAAACTGGTAACTAAATCTTTAGATTTCTAAGTTGGAGTTCTAATTTTGGGTAAATTAGAATTAGGTTTAATTTCGTTGGATTAAGATAAATTAAGTTTTCGAATTTCGAACGAGATTTTTAATTAAATCTTAAGTCCAAGGTTTTTGGAAATTTAATTTTTCTTTACTCTTGGGTTTTATTATTGGATTTTAAAATTAAGTTATTCTTCCCAAGTCGTTTTAAGAACGAGATTTCTTTTAACAAAAAGGATTAGAATCTATTTCTCTTATTTTAGGTCTTTAACCATTTACTTTTGTTTATTTGGATTTATTTTGTTAGAAAAAAGGGGAAAAAGAAAAAGGAAAAGGAAAAAGAAATCAAATAAAACCCTAGCCCCCTTCTTCATCTTCCTCCCTTCTCCCTCTT